CTTAGTGCCTTTAGTTTTTGACCATAGTTTAAGGTGGAATTGACAGTTTTTTTTAAAAAAGCGACAATAACTATAATAAGATAAGAAAGGAATCATTTTAAGCATCCTGAATTCTACATGCTTGTAGTCTACATGCTTGTTGTTAATTTTTAACAACCTTTGGCTTTTGCCAGATTTAGCATCCTTTTGGTCTCAGTAGCAGCTTGATTATTCCTTGTTTTAAGAAGTAGGTTCAGTACTTTTTGCTGGCAGAAATGATGTAGTTATAATTGAAAAATGCAGGAATGCCTAATTTCATAAAGTAATTGGAAGTTGAACACTGCTTTTGAATTATTTTTGTTGTAAATTTCACGAATTGTCTTTGCCGTGCAGTACTAAGACTATAGATTATATATTTCAGTTGACATGTAGTGTATGAAGTTCTAAAGTGTACCTTTTTCTTTTTTTCCCCCCCGCCTGTAAGGACTTTATGGAAAGTTCTGATATGATTAGTACATGATACTACAAATTGTAATTAACATTTTAAAAATGTGGTTTCTACTTTTCTACTTACTGTTTCTTTCATAATGCTGTTATGATTTTGTTTCCATGAATGTGTTTGTTACAGAACAAATGTAGTAGAGGCAGAAGATCAAGAATTTATGATTTGTTGTAGCATTAGGTGGTGATGAATTATGTAAGTTTAAGTTATTGGAATTAAAATTAAAAGCCTTTCTAGAAAAAATTGATGTAACATTTTGTGAATCTGTTAATAAAGTGGCCTTTTTTTTTTTTTTTTTGCTTTCAAGGTTTTTGGGTTGAGTTTGCTTTAAAGAGGCATTTCATCTTTCTAAAAAATTTTGCAGTCTACTTCTCTGTTTACCTAAAAGTACCCTCAATGTAAATCTTGAGGTTAGAAACAACTGCAAATCTGTTTTAGAATTAATGAAAATTTGTGCTGAGAAAGTCACCTTGAAATATTTTGCAATAAGTTTTATATGGACCATTGACCTTTTATGTTGCCTTTGCTACTTAAAGCAATTCTTTTTACACTAAAATGCATCAAGTCTTTTTGGAAGTCAGTGCTTCACTGAAGCTACATTTTAGTTGAGGTGTTTCTCTGTGTAATTTCTTTTTCTGCATTTCCCTTCAGACTCCCCCTGCACTCCCCCCCCCAAAAAAAAGTAGTGGACATTAAACTAATTTATGCACCTCAGCCACACTCCAGCTTTTCCATTTGAAAACCCCCC